TTTTTATTGGTTGTTCAAAACATTACAAAGCTCTTGACATATCATATTTCATACATTAGATTCAAGTTTTTTTTCTTGGTCTCTTTCAAGATACACTAACTGGATCTCTGCCATTGGAGTTGCCCTAAACTACTTAATCCTTCTATAGTCATAAAAGCAACCCTCTGAAGACTAAATCGTATCTTTTCTCTGAAGAAAACCTCCCATTCCAAAATAAGTGTGTCTTAATAACTTAATGTGCAAGTAACATATTTCTCTCTAGAAAACTCCAGCCTTACCTCCCTTCTAAACTCCCCTCCCTTCCAGCCTCCATTCTAGCCTCTCCCCATGGTGTCACCTAACCTGAAGCCATTTAGCATGTCCCTCTGTGTTATTTCATTAAGAGCACTATCTTTATTTCTGTCACTTCTGTCTATAATAACTTTAGTTCTTTTCTTCTCAAAAAAAGAGACTGATTTCCTTATTTAACTTATTTCTTACATGCTAGAATCATGTGTGCCTTATTTTTTCTTTGTTAAGCAATATTTTCTTCAATGCTCTTTTTTAATACTAGAGTGTATATCTCTGGGGAAAACTGCCCATCCCATACCCCTCTTGTATGAACATCTAAGAGAGTGAATCTCTAACAGTACCACCACTCTGTGTGAACTTGTATCCTGGACTGGTGACCTGGATGGATACCTGGTCCAAACTGAACAGTCATATAATTTAATTTGACATTGTTCACTTATGCCTCTAGGAAAAACTTATTGCCAAAAGAGTGCCAAACTGTCAATCTTCTTCATAAGATGATGATGATTGTCACTAGAAACATAATAAATGAATAAGTTTCTTTTCTGGTGAGTGGGTGTGCTGCTATTTTCTCTGGACTAGTAAGTTATTTAAAATAATCTCTACTTAAGTCTTAAGAGTTTTGTTTTTGGACATTAATTCATCTTCAGATTTTTTGTGAACTTTTTTTTTTAGAATGGCTCCCTAGCCACTCACCACACAGCCAGTCTACTAATCCCCACTGAGAAGTAGCAGTGGGTTAGTGGAGTGGCAGAGTAGTGGCCTGGGCAAGCTGGAACATGGGCAGTGAGCACTGACCATGGCCAGTGTAGCCCAATATGCTAGCTCAAGATGGAGGTGTGGTATGCCAGGGTACACCTGACCTGGTATCTCACAGCAGCCTTACCTAACTGAGCTAAAGCCCCATTGAAGAAGCCCACATTATCCCCACCCCTGGCATTCACAGTCTGCAGACCTCAGCCTCCTAGGAAGCTAGAATTGCAGGCCAAGAGTGAGATAATAGAAGTGGGGCCCATCATTAAGAACTATAGCACATTTCTGTGCCACAGAGGCCTGAAGCTTATGCAGGCCCCACTTTCCAGCAGAAATGGAAAAACTTTAGTTTCATTTCTTCCTCTATTCAAATGCCTGACATCTTTAGAGATTTACCAATGAGTATATACCTTTAAAAGGGAACTATAATATTAAGTCTAATGTTTAAATAATAAAAATCTCTTTGTTCAAAAATGTTTTGTTTTGAAGGAGAAGTATTTTAAACAAATGAAATAAAACTTACTACAGAATTCTTGGAACAAAAATCAAGTGGTATTTGTGCTTTGGGAGGAATTTGCATTTTGAAATTATACTAGTTTGAACCTGCTCTAAATTTTTTAAGGATTACTGTCCAAATTTCCTATGAGATAGTAGACAAGTTACATGGCCATCCTGTCCTTACTTCTGATTTCTGAGTTAGAATTCTTTGCTTTTTTTTTTGATATGAGGTAAGTTTGGTAAGAAGTGATTACAATAATCAGGAAAATCCCAGTCAGACAAGTACATAATTTTCAGCCAGCCAGATAATTCTGGTTAAAGATTTTAATCACAATAAGGTAAGATACTTCAATGTAAGATAAAGGCCAAATTTGAAAGTTGGAAAATACAAAGTTAAAAAAAATGCATGTGGCTAATTTATAAACCTTTTCTTAAGAGTTTTAAATGATTAAATTTATTATGACAGTCATCAATAACTTCTTGTAAAATTTTTAGTTTGCATTGATGTCACATAATCTGTAATTTCTTAGAAGGAGACAGAATGAGAAATAGATATGCATCAAAATGAAGATAGTGGTCACATAGGAAGCTATAACAAATCATATGTGCCCTGAAGTTTTAGCATAAGGTCATAGTTAATATGGCAATGTACTTTATATAAAAGAAGAACTGCTATAATGAGTAAACCAGGAACAGTTACAGCATTATATCTCAGATACAAATGACTTTTTAAAAACTGTATATCCTTTAATTGTCTAATACTCAACCTTCATTTTATGCAGTATAGAAAAACCATTTCTGTGCATATTAGGTCCTTTATTAGAAAGAAGATAGGATAAGAATAATAAAGAAATTCATTTTGATTAAGTTTTTACATTTCTATGCTGTTTGAAGTAGTAGCTTCCTTACCAACCTCTGCCTTCTGCAATTCTTCTTAGCAAGAATCTAGGATCGTTCCTTGGGCATTTGCTTGTGTCTACTATATACAATCTTCCTCCTCCTGAGCATGCCTAAATCCACCACAAGTAAATTTATAGTGTTTGTTCAAAAACTGTTGATGCTGTCTAAATTTTAGCACTGATCAATACCTTGGTTTTCTTATCTAGTGCTTCTGTTTCCCTCACTGATGTGAACTCCCATGTTTTTGACTGCTCTGTAGGCAAAGGTCTACCTAACACCATAAAAACAAACCAAAACATCAAAAGAGCCTTGGATCTTGGACTTTTTCTGAGAAAGGGGAGTGGAACGGTATGGGATGAAAATGCTCATACATCTCAGTTCCCACAATGTCAGTATTTTTCACCTCC